GGAATCTAAAATAAACGAATCAGATGGAACAAAATCCCAGTGACATAGCGTACGTAAACCACATCTTCGAACACATGCTTTCAGCCGTTCACCCTCACCCTCGCCGCGTTTCTTACAAGAGCGTGGCAAGACTACGAAATGGTGAGGCTCCTGTGGTGGAACTTCAGTGAAGGATGATCGAAACAAATGTGTGTTTTTGAATTTTTGTACATTTGTGTTCTTTGAGGATGTCATACTCCTCATATCACTTACATTTTTCCGGCGAAAACCAATAAGGCGCTCGCACTTACGCTTTTCACAATAAAAATCTGTCACGATACATTTACAAAACGTTCATAGCTCCAGTTTGTTTCTGATCTTTTTTCACTTACATACCCGTGAAGAAACGTGACCATTTAAATTATTGTACACGGCTGAAAAATGTTTTTTGTGCCATAGCCATCCTCCCACTGCGCATCAACATCATCAATCCGCACCCGACATCACCAAATACGCCGCCCGCTTGTGTGCTTCCGCGACTTTCGCACTATGCGGACTGATGAAGTTGAAAATGAGGAGGACGAGGCACCCCAGCAAGTGCTCCACCAGAAAAATGATCCACAGTGCCTCGTAGTTTGTTAGGTGACCCCCGGAAATGTTATCCGAGAACGGGTTTTCCTTTTCCTCCTGCTCCACAAGTGTGGCCTTGTAAAAGAGGTCGAAGGCGACGCCTTGCTGCCCGAAATTTTGGTCCACTGTGGTCTCCTCCGCCCAGAAAGACGACCGGAAACTCGCACAGAACCGCTGCAGCTGCTTGCTGCTGAAGCCAAAGAGAAACGCGTTGCTGCAAACGGAGAGCCAGACCAAGGCTTTCAACACCCGCAGCCACACGGCGGGACAGAGCTGCCGCTGGAGTTCTGGTTGATGTTGACTTTTGTTGGTGGAGAAGGCGGGCAGGAGGCTCGTGTGTAGTGAGGGATTCGTCGTTGTTGCGTCTGTCGAGGACATCAAAGCAGCTTTCCTCCTCTCGTCCGTTCCGTTGATCGTGCGCATCGTGCTGGAGGTTGTCTCTGGTCGTGATGATGTATTTCCGTCGCTCGTTCGTGGAAAATCCAAATTTTCGTTGCTAGCACAAGCAGGCCAGCACGGCGAGACCTCGATCGAAATGGAACCGCTTCCCGGTCGCTGCAAAACGTAGAACAGCTTGTGCCTGTCCGACGTGGCTTCCACCAGGATGGTGCAAAGCGCGAGCGTGGCCCCGATCGGAAAGGCGTCCGCAAACAGCGTGATGTAGCCCACCTGCACGACCATCTCGATCCAGTCATCAAAACTGTCGTATTCGTCGGCGCACCTCTGTCTTTCGATTTCTCGTCTTGTCTCGTCGGTTACTGGATGATCGCACGAAGAATGACCTTGATCATATCCTGAATCGCTGTCTTCAAAAAAGCTGCCCGATGAAGTACACAACGAAGGTGATATTATGCGGCCCTTGGACTTCTTCCATGAGGCCACCTTCCTCTCCGCAGCCTCGAGCAAACCTCCCGCCTGTCGGAGCAGGATGGGCAACATGGTTTCCAGGAACAACCGCCTGCCGCAGTCCACCAGGTACATGTTGCCGAGTTCGGACCGGAGTTTCACAATGTCCTTTTCGATAAAGCCGATGTACAGAAACCCGATGTAGCAGTCGAGCGCTTCGAACAGCACCCGCTTGGTCAGCAGCGCGGTCTGAAAATCCTCGATACTTTCGTGGAGCTCGTTTGTGGTCAGCCAAACCGCGACGGTTTTGTAGATCCCGTTCAGCTGCTGAATGGCCAACACGTGAAGGACCGTCGGTAAAAGCGTGAGGTAGCCGAACAGCAAAAAGTCCCCCGCGCCGGTCGGGTCCAAAATCGCGCCTGGCTGCGCGAACTGCGCAATCCAGGGGATGTGGAAGGGGTTGTAGAGTTTCTCGACCCCGGACGCGTTTTTGTCGGTGGGGCCCGAGATGTAGCCCTGCAGGTTCAGGCTGCAAATCATGGTGAAAAAAGCGACCGACAGCAGGCAGAGGGTCACCACTGCGGAGGTCAGGTACGCGAGGGGGTTATGGGATGGGAAATTATCACTTTTTCTGCCTGTGCCTCCGGCTTGTTATGCGGATCATATCAAGAAGTACTGTACATGCATAGACGAATAAATATACAGCTACAGGAGACACGACTTACGTCTGTTGATCATAACCACCAATATGAGAACAAGCTGAGGGCATTAAAGGCGGCAGATTTTTCACTGCAATATGGCTTTTGGAAAGCAGGTGGGGACTTTCTCGCCCAGTACCGTTCCCCGGTGATTTATCACAGGAAAAAAGTGTTACAGTTACACGACATTTGTTGGAGTTTCAGCATCACAAAAATGCTCCGCACAGCAAAGAAATCTTGTATGTAATGCGCAGACCATAAGGGAAAACACGAATGAAATGACGCTGGCAAGCATTTCCTGCATGACAGCGGATGTCTGTATTGCTTGTCGTGCATCAGAGTGTGTAACTGTAACTACACTTTTTTCTCAGTATATGATTGGCGAGGTTTTCAGCTCCACCTCCACGCAGTAAGGTTCGGGTTTCCCAGCACTCGGGACTTTGACGTCTGCGTGTCCTTTATCTTCTTCCGCGGATGATGCGTGAAGGGGTTCGGCACGACTCGAGGACAATTTCTCTTCGTGGTCGGGTTCTTTGTCCCTGGTGCGGCCTTTTTGTGTACTACTTCCAGCTTTGTTAGACATCTCCGCAACTTTTCCGCAGCTCCAGGCTGAGCAGCTACTACCTGTTTTGCAGTAGCCCCAGCGCAGTGCAAATTCCTCACCCCGCCGCTCGAAATACCGGACAAAGCAAGCGAAAGACAGGACCGTAACGAGCGCGAACACGGACCGGCCCAGCGGAAAAATCCCGTAAGTATGCATTGCAAAAGTATCGCACTTGTATAAATGCATATACGAATTTTCTCAGCTGGAGAAATAAAATTTGTAATGCGGTTTTACCTAAACAAAAGATTTGGTAATGCATGACTGCAATACGAGTACGATAGTTTTGCATAGGATAGTAGGTACAGTACACCAACAAGCCAAGCAGCGCCGGCACGGAAAGCCACACCGCCAGGCAGCGCAGGTACACAAAATAAGCCGCGGTTTCCGGGCCGAAGTAATCCGCGATCAGGTCGAGGGATGCGGTGGACAGGGCGAAATGGTGGACAGGGAATTGCAATTTTGTATTCTTATTTTGATGTTCAAGTTCAACCTTCTCCTGCGACAGGTGGAACTGTGCCGTCTCGTCGTGCAGACAGAGGAGCTCCAGCTGGACGGAGGAGTCGTGTTTCTGCTGTGCCGATTCGTCCACTACGTTTACAGAATTTCGGAAAGTAGCCTGTTCGCTACTGGTGGCAGTCGCTGCTTTCTTCGTTGAAAAAAAGGAACCGGGTTTGTCCTCCACTGCGACTGCAGGTGGACCACTGGGCTCTTCATCGGTAGGATCGTTTTCCGCCTTCAAGATCCGCTTGCGCAAGACCATTTCCGGTCCGTCCTTTTCAGTAGTAACACCACCAGCTATATCTGACAGAGAGGAAGAACTTCTATTCGTAGATGAAGAAATCTCGACGGAAGAGTCAGTCGGCGTGGAACAACCCGACGTGCATGAATCGCCGCAGTCTGTCGTCGGTGTGGAGCCCCCTGTGGGGGAGAAGGTTGTAGAATGGTCGTCGGCACTATTATCCACTTTCCCTTCTGGCACGGATTGCAAAGCGAAAGCTTCGCCCGGAAGGCCGTTCGTCGCAGCCGCTGCTGGCCCGACAGCGCACGACGCATCTGCCCGCTCCAGGGATGAAGCTCGAGTAGAATCCGATACCACACTTCCAGGCGTAGAAGATGAACAGGATCCACCCAAAAGTAGAATTTCCTCGACGTACTGCTTCAGCAACAACATTTTCTGGGCAGACGAAAGCGGGACAAGCAGCGGGTCCACGTCCTCATCTGTAGTTCTTGCGCTGGCGTCGATTTCATGATGCCGGTCCATCGCGTCCGAGTGCAAAGAAGTTGGCCTAGTTCTAACTACACAGGAGGCCGTCGTGATGGCGAAGTACGCAGGGCCGCTCCTCCCGGTATGATCGGTGGGCCGCGAATAAGTCACCCAAAGTTGTTCTTGTGAAGGTCCTTTCAAGGTCGTGCGTGCTGGCTTCAGCTGCGCCCCTGGTGTCGTTGGGGGAGTTTGTGCAACAGGTTCATCTCCTTGGTCAATGCCGGTCGCGGTCTGTTCTATCGCAGGCCTTGCAAACAGCGATGTGACCTGCTTTTGGCGCACGAGCGTAGAGCCGCAAGCCCGAACGAGCTCTTCGGCGAGTGAGTCGGGTAGCGTGACCAAAATAGTGTCCGGGGTCGGCCTGCGGATGATCAGGCTTGTTTGCGTCTGCAGCCGGCTTTCTACATGGTCCAAAGCAGTCACCATGCGTGTCGACTCGTCCGCGGGAGTTGGAGTTCGAGCATCTTTACCGCCATCGTCGCCGGACGTCGATGCAATGAGTGCAAGGGATGTAGTCATGTTGCTGTTGTCAGTGTAGATACGATAGTTCTACTGCGTCCTTGTATTACAATTACTATCGGCGAGTTTGAGTTTCTGGCTCTACGATGGCAGCACTGACTTCAAGTATCCTTTTCCCTGAAATCGAATGCCGCACGGCCGACGCACGACCACACTTACATCGCCCCTTGTGTTGACCTTTTTGCGTGCGAGTGCGTTAGAAGACCACAAGCTAAAAGACATGACGTTTCGTGCTTGTATATACTCAAATTCAACTTCATCTTTGTTCATCTTTCCAAATGTGATGCCTTTGTAGTTTTTCAGAGATTCACTCGGCAGTGACAGCACTCAACCAGGTTGCAGAGTGTCTTATAACTCATGTTTGTGCACTCGTGTCTGTCTCCCCTCGCCCCAGCAGCAGGACTTTGTGAACTCGAACAAATCTCAATGTGAAAGTGCACACCTTTTTTTACTGCACAACCGTGACACTACAGTTCATCTGCTGTCGTAGTTAGAGCGTTGATCTCTGGCGACGTTTTCTATCTACACGGATAGGTCGAAGGAGTTGTGATCGGATACTTACGTATTTGAATTTGGAAGTGACATCTTCGACTTCATCTGCAACCGATCAGCACTAGACTTCCCACTTTCGCTCTTTCGTAGTTCTCGCCGTTGCCTTTGATGTTTTTCTTTTTATTATTCCCGCCAATCCCTTTCTTGTGCCTTCCTTCGGAACATTTGCATTTCCTTGTTCTTCTACTTTCGGCGTTTTCAACATCCTCTCTTCGTTGCCGCCCGTGGCTTCACCTTCTGTCGGCTTGCGCCCACTGCGCTCGTTTTTTGCCACCGCGGGTAGTTGTTCTTGTATCGCCGCGCTCTTCTTCTTCGTAGTACTACCTTTCGGCCGGCCCGGTTTGCGTCCAGGAACGACGTCCCTTCTTCGCCCACTTGCCGGCTTCCAGCCCGGCTCTCTTGCCCGCCGCGCAGCCCGGTATTTGTTGGAGTCCGCCATGATGATCGATAAACTCAAACTTTCAAAAAGTTTACTTTGTAAGTGCGCGGGATTGAGGCAAAAAGCCAGCGCGTGCTATTTCCCCAATAGGGTGACTTGTAAGTACAGCTGCAGTTCTCAAGGGCCGTGTTACCCTAGTACCTATCCGGGAAAGACAAGGGGGCAGTTTCGGATCGGTCGGTCGGATCAAAATGTTACATGGAACTCATCCTTGCATAGTATTCTTCATTTTGATATCGTTCATGGAAAATGAAGATTCCCAGCTGGTGGTCCCTCTTCAAGTCTAGCTTTGCTTTATATCAACTTTGTCAAATAAAATCTGTTCCTGGCCACAAGAGGCGTTTTACCATACTTGATTCACACAGAAAGGCGTGCGAAGATAAGCTCAAACACGTCGAAATAAGGCAGAGACGGCAGTAGAACATCGACATCATTGCCTTTCTTCTACCTTCCTCCCACGCTTGCACTTCATGCCGTAGAAGTTCACACTTCGCAAAGCGATTATGCGAGTCCTTGACCTGCTATTTCGTCTTGCCAATAGTTAATCTATGCCTTAGTAGAAGAAATTTCATCGATGTTTAAGTGGGATACTCGTGTCATCGATAAAGAAGTCTGCGGCTCATCCGAGATTGTCAAATCTTGCTTTCACCTCTCGGCAGAAAACCGCATCGAACTCGCCCACGTCTAGAGCCAGCGCACGGATCTCGTGGAATAGCCGATCAATCCGCTGGGAAGCTTTCTTCAAATCGCGGAGTTGCGGTCCTTGCTGTTGCTCGCTGGGGTTGGACGTCTTCTGCAGTTCTCCGTGGGCAACGTGCTTGTGATTCCTGCCAAGGGTGTCTGTCCCATTCGGCGCATATCCTGTGCAAAAGCATCGCACTCGTACACCAACTTGCAATCTTCATGCAAGGTACGACATGTGCTCGTTGTCGTTCCTGAGGTGACTAAGCATGACAAACTCCATATTTGATGCTGTTGACTACTTAAATTTGTGATGCGATGACTCCCAGACCCAGTACGAGATAACTTTTGCAGTGCATATGATCATCGCAGCTTCTTCCATTTCCTGCACCTTCCTCTGCAGCAGTTTTCGCAGCTCCGCGAGGTCGTCGAACGTGGTTGAAAATTTCGTCGCTAAATCCCATAACTGCTGGAAGCGACGGAGCATCTCGTTTTTCTGAAAATAACGGAAAAAGCACAGATAGGAGAAGAGAGACGGCGGGATCTTGACCACGTTACTAGTTGTACAACTAGGGGGGATCCTGTTCTCATCTTTCTTTTCGTCCTTCTCGCGGAGACGACAACTACTATTCGCAGCTTCTTTGCCGATTGTGGTCCACCCGGAATCATTTTTCCCAGTCGTGCAAGAAAAGAAGGTCGAAACGCAGTCCCCGCTTTTCGTCCAGGTCAGCAGCAATTCCAACCCGTCCTCGATCTGTTGCATCTGCACGTAATGCGAAAGGAGACTGTTTGTCAAACTGGAAATCCCGAAAATCACGGTCTGCAACTGGTCGCGGAGTTCATCTGGCCGTGGTATGGAATGATCTTGGCTGCTGGTGTGCGGGGAGAAGGCGAAGCCATCATGTGGGTAATTTTTATACCGGTGTTGAAAGAGATCGTCCCGAGCAACTGCACGTGAAAAGTTGTCCACTGTCGTCCCTCGCCCTTCATCTTCTAGAACCGGACACCTTGTTGAAATAACTGGTGTAGTAGTTGTACCGCTTCCACTATCAAATGCAAATATGCCTGGGTCTGGAAACTTGTGATGCGCGATAGATACAGTCCCGAATGCAACCCAGCATGACAACTTTCCAGAACGCTTTCTCATAGTCAATCCGGATGAGAAACTGCGTCTTTGCATGTACAAAAGAGGCCGCGACTTTTGCCGGTTATGCAATACAGATTTTCTACGTATGGAACGCTAGCATTACAAGTTCCAACCTTCCAGACCCAAACACTTTTTACAATCCATATCCACCTCCCGCCCAGACACTGGCGTACAAGGTCGCTTGTTTTGGCGAAGAAAATAAGCTTGAGGCGGACCGTGTTGATGACAGGCTTCTCTCGACCACATCAGTCTTGCTCTTGTTGCGTCGCGATGGAGATGAGGACCACATCGTGCCGTCCGCGCTAGTACACGACAAAAGAATGTCGCTCACCTGCAGTTCTTCATCGCGGAGGTGGTCAATCTTTGATATTTCGGCTCCACCTTTTTCACGACCGCTGCTACCAAGAAAACCGCTCTCAGTTCGTGGATTGTCTTTGTCCTCACGTCCTTCCCGCAGGCGAGTTCGGGCCTGCCTCGCGGCTGAGGCCGCAAAGTGACGCAAGGGCGCGTCGTCGGTTTGGCGTTCATTTTCCGCTCGTCGCATTTCGTCGCGTTGCTTCAGTATTTGGAAAGAGTTGTCGAAATCGCTCAGGTCCTTGGCAACCGCTTCTCTCGCGTATTGCCAAAATTTTCGGAGATTGCGCTCGAGAGCATCTGCATTATCGTTATCGTCTTGTGCCGTATTGTTCTTTCCAAAGGGCTGTAAGAAATCGTGGTTGGTCTTCATGATCTCCAGCTTCTGCTGCTGAAAACACCGCACCAGACAGGACACCGCAAACGCGAGCGACGTCACCATCGGGGAAATGGCCGCCGGAGGCACAGGCCTCAAAGAATCAAGGGAAGGACCCATGTAGTCGTGGGCCTCCTTTTTGTGCGCGAGAAAATCTTTTTGGCGCTGCTGTGTATTTTCTTTCATCCGCACCCCTCTCACAAGCCGCCACAGCTTCATGGCCATCTGCTGCAAGTCCTCGCAAGAATTTTTACTCCCGCTTGATGTCGTACTCGCTTGTTGCTGTTCACAATGCCGCGCCAGCGCTGGTAGTAGGTCCCGGGTTGCAATTTTGCAGTCCACGTCGAACGCTTTCTGGGCGTGGGGTGCTCGACTGGTACTGTCCCTTCCAGAAGCAACCTCATTTGACGAAGCACAAGTCCTTCTCGTTCGACTGCGACCCGACAGGGAACGATCCGAATTTCTGCAACTCGCTCCTGCTATTTGCACAAACCGTAAGTAGCAGCACACCAGGGGTTTCAGCAGCATTTTCTCCGCGCTGAGGACACTGAACAAATGCTCCAGAAGGGACAGGTGATTTTCGTTTATTCTCAGTGTGGGTAAACTCATGCTCAGGGTCGTGTTTAGCCACAGTGTAAGTGGGCTGCAATTCGTTGACCTTCTTGAGAAGTGCCCTCGTCCTTGATGCGTGTTGGCGGAGTCAATGCCAACATCCTCTTCTTCGGGGTTATCCAGGCCAACGGTCGCACAGAAAACGCGAATGGCCCGGCTGATTTCGGGAGCAGCAGACGCAGAGGAGATTTCGTCTTCTCTGGTTGTTGTAGGTGTAGCTGCAGCTGCTTCTTCCCCAATAAGTTGGAACGAAGTGTTCGTGCGAGAACTGTTTGCGCCACTTGATCGTTGATTCGACGTCCCGGTCTTTCTTACTCCTCTATAGTACCGGACTTCCCCTGCGTAGGCCTGCAGCAGTACCGCGGCGGACCGCGGACTCGAAAGGAAATCCTGACATCGCATGGCATCCCAGAGTTCAAAGGCCGCATTGGTCTTGCCACCGGCAAGAACTAGCCCGTGAATGTAGGAATAGTAGAGAGCCTCGAGAAGACGCTCAGAGGAAGGTGGGGCTTTCATTGCAGATGTGATGCGGCTGGTCTCGTCCTCTCTGTCACCGATGGATGAACTCGGATTTTTTGCATCGCTGTCGCCGTTGTGTTCTTCAGGTTCAGACCGCATGCTGCCACGACCAGAGCTCTGCAGGATCATGACCTCCGGCATCCGTTGCGGTAGTTCCTCTTGTTCCTTATTCGTCTTCTTCAACCTGTGCCTCTGAAACCGAAAAATCTGGTCCGCAGCTGGCACATCTCGATTCTTTGCGAGAACGTGTACCAGGCGACAACAGAGAGAGTGAGGGAGAGAAGAAGTTTCTGTAGGTTCATCTGCACAAAAATATGCTAACTGAGAGTCAACATCACCTTCACCCTTCCCCAAGCTGGACCCCGTCGACGTTCTTGAATTAGAGCCCCTGTAGTTCGCCAGGTGAGTTACAGCCTCGCGCAGAGCCGATTCGTATTCGGTTATTTTTGGGTCGCCCTGATTTCCGTCCTCGAAATGATCTTGGCTACGCTGATTTTGACGGAAAGCCGCCGCCGTCTGTCGGTGACAGTGACTCGCTGGCGCAGTTTCGCTGGCCGTCCTTCCCTTCGCAGCCGAAGCCGTGGCGATGGTGCCGAAGTGTCGTCTTCGCATAGGATTCGTGGCGCTGCCGCCCCTTGGTGCAGCATCAGTGCGGAATAAAGTTGCCTCGCACAACTGTTGGACCACATCCGAGTCACGCTTGGTCGTGGGATGAATATCCTTTCCTCTGTAGGCCGCAGCTGCATCGTGTTGGAGTCTATTCCTCGTGTTTGCAGCAGCAAAGATTTTGCCGGCCGCTTCTGCGGTTTGCGGTTTGTTCCCACGCTTATTTGGTTGAACAACCCAAAGCTGCCGTCCTCGTCGCAGGACGGCGTGCACGAACCTTCCTGAGCCCTTGTTTTCACCATACTGACAGGAGAGCATGGCCTGCCCCTTTCCATCTTGCGCGGTCGAGTTTCTCTTTCTGAAGAAGAGTGGCGTTGTTTTGCCGAAGGTTGCAGTCGTGGTGGAGTTCGCAAACTAAGAAAACGATATACGAAGTTTACTCTTTTGATCTCTACTCTGTTGATCTACTTTCTCGAGGTGGAACAGCAAGCAAAAATATAAGATCACGTCGACGCTTACGCTTTTGCAAATAATCCCAGCGAAAAAGAGCCTCACATCGATGATCCGTGTCATGGTGTAGCCCGAGCCTTTGCAGCGGGCTTCGACGAAAAAAAGTAGGGGCACATCAACACACGACATTTCTTGCACGTGCACTTGAATAATGATCGGACATTAAGAACGAAAAAAACTACGAACAGCTCATTTATCATATAGGCGATCTGCTACTTTGAACTAGAATTATTAGATCTACAACTGGCTGCGAACAGGGAGAGCAGTGGAAGATTCCTGCTGGTGCTAGTACTTGCAATCACGAGATGAAAGTGCTGCCAAGAAGCGCGAGAAATGCAGAACTTATCTTCATTGTGCTCCGACACACCCTTCTACTTCCCGTTGAAGTCGAGCTTGGACCGCCACTGTGACTTGCGCACGTGCTTGCGTCTTACACTTCCAGTAGTTTCTCTTTCTAGTTTTTTCACCAACACCACGCACATGCACACGTTGGAATTCGAAATCGAAACATCACCTGGATGCACTCTAGAAATTGTACAACGCTTTCGTTAATTCGAGTCGCAGACTTGGAGGAACTAAGTTCTCTTCCGCTGCTAGGATATGCAGTGCAAAAGTATCGTACTCGTATAAATGCATATACAAATTTCCTCAGCATGAGAAATAAAATTTGTAATGCTGATCTACCTCAAGAAAAAGATTTGTAATTCATGCTTGCAATACGAATACGATACTTTTGCACAGGATATAGGAACTCGTTGAACCACTGCAGTTTGTAGGCCAGATGCGCCGTGGCTTCGCGTCCGCTGACCAGGAGATCCGAAACTTCAATGTATAGTTGTATACAATGCAAAAGTATCGTACTCGTCATGCATTACAAATTTTCATCGTAAGGCAGATCCGCATTACAAATTCAATTTGTAATGCAAACCCAATTTGTAATGGAATTCATACTAGTACGATGCTTTTGCACAGGATACAAGGTCCTGGTTGACAAAAGCCGTTGCAATCAGCTCCATCCGGTGCTTCGCCACGAAGTCCGATCGTATTGCAGTCATGCATTACAAATCCCTGCGTCAAGGAAAATCAGCATTACAAATTTTATTTCTCATGCTGAGGAAATTTGTAATGCATTTATACGAGTACGAGACTTTTGCAAAACATACGAGTCCCAGAACCGCGGTTTTTACAAAGGATATTCCTGCATGCTGATGATGTTTCTCATGCAGAGCCCCATGAGAGGCATTTTCTAGTCGTGCTTCGGAATTTGTCATGCTCCGTTCAGCATAGCAGGCTAGATCGCTGTAGCAAACGGTGGACTGCTCTCGCTGTTCCTGCAATACAGTTTTTTTATAGAATCCAGAGGCAGCATCACAGGTTCCATCTTTCCACACCCAGGCATATTTGGAACGCATACAGCACCCGGTCCCACTCCCGAACGGTTCGGATCAGGTCGGCGGTCGTGGAGATGGGGACTTTGTTGGTTGTTGTAGTAGCTTATGCAATACAAATTTCCCGTACATCTACAACATGCATCAAAACAAATTT